CCTTTGGACAAGATTTCAGATCGAAATATCAACAACATTCGAGTTTCTGCAAGATGTCATGTCATAGGCTAAAATTTCAGTAAAATGGTTATAGCACTTCGAAGAACAGTTACTGACCGATACTATTTTTAGCTTTTGAATACCTCACTATACTCTATGGAATGAGATATGAATGAAGTGTATCAGAGTGTTCCTCCTGGATAGTGTTCTTCGTCAGCTGTGGTATGTATTGCATATGTTATATTTAAAAACAAATCTCTAAATTGAAACATTCCTAAATCAAAATTCCTATCGGTCACCAGTATGGATTATAATTCTAAATTCATCCCTAAATTGGGGAATGATGTATGGATGAACCTGGGGGTCACAATTCCGTGTAAATGATAGGCATTCGCCCACCAGTACTGTTTGTAATAGTTACAGATCAAACTATTACAATCGCCTGCAGCTGTCATTTCAAAGACAACTAGGAAGATGACCGAGACGAAAAGGAGAGACGACAACTTGAACATTTGAATTGTTAGCTAAACCTAACGAGAAAGTTCTGACATTTCTGATGCATATCGAAATGAAAAGGAAGAATTAGCATACGCCCTCCCTTAAAAAGCATTTCATTTTGGTCACATATCACCTGAGGGTCAGATGTTAACATTTCGTGTAGCTATTGACACTTTCCAAATAGATATCAGTCCTTTATCTTAGGTATGATTTAACAGATGATCGTCCTGTATTGTGTCGAAATGATTCTCTTTTATAGCGTCATCGTGCATTTTTAGACAATGAAAATTTTCTCACGTGCATGATAGATAAATGCGATGAACTTCTTTGTTGTTATTGATTTGTTTTATAAACAAGTAAATAACAAAGGCAATGCAGTTAACAAATCGTCAATGGCTCGAAAAAATGTAGATCACTTTCAAGGACGCGGTGCTGCTGCTTAAAGGATAGTTTTATGTACAAATTCTAATATTTAGCGAGCGATTAACTAATATTTTCATCTTGTCTAATATCGTTTTGACAATTGCTTATTAATCTTACCTGAGCTAGAAGATGGATTCGACGAGTGTAATAGCCAGAAGCAAATGGTTTGTGAATCCAATTCTTTACTTTCCTTTTATAGGTATCAGGGCTCCGTGTGGTGTAGGATGGGACGAAAAAAAGCGTCCCATGGGATAAATTTTTCATCCCACCCCATCCTCTCCCATTCTGTCCCACCCCATCCCATCTTATCCCATGGGACTATGGGACGAGTATTCATCCAAAATCGTTTATAAAAAGAAAGGTTTTACAGTGTCTGTTGATTTGATTGAGAAGGATAAGCATCATGTGACAACATCTTATATCTCAGATTTTTATTCTTGGTGAGTTCCCAAATTGTCTTTTTTCTGTTGGGCAAGAATGCATATTATTCTCTATTTATGTCAAAAGTATGTGTTTGAGAGAAAACCAAATAAATATATGACAGTATCAGTTCAAATATACAACGACTAGAGACAAATAGATTTATTAATGTTGAGTTTATTTGACTCTTCCTTTCTTTTTGTATAATGATGTTGTTCGATTAAAAAGTGTTCATTTTATTTAATTTTATTTGATTAAATATAATCCATTGGATTTTGTCCGATGAAATGAAATTCAATAAAGTAAGGTCTATTCGTATAAAATTTATTCTTTAGATCAAATCAAGTAAAATAAAAATACATTGTCCATCAATGAATAAGCATCACATACTATTGGTGTACACAATCATCCAATAAAATCTTAGTTACAAAAAAAAAGACTTGTCGCTATAATACTGTATTTTTTTTCTTTTTTTCAATCCTGCTCGATATTCACCAAAAAAATCAAACCATTTCGAAGACACACTGTTTTTTAAGCATCTCTGATTATTTCTATTATTCATTCAAAATATATTTGCCTTTAATTTTCATTTCAGATAAAATTACCATTAAAAATTCCTGTTCAAAATCTAACGTTACTATTCCACATACACTAAAAGGATTTTTTAAATTAAAATACATGACAAAGCTTCTAGTTTTCCATGAGTAACTACATTAAATTGTATATGATTTGATTTGGCAAATCGAACTAATCTAGAATCATTGGTAAGATCGTAAGATTCTCTTAAAAAATAGAGAAACCATATAGCGACCTCTTTTTTTTCTACATATATATACATATGTACACATATAGATTTATTCCACACATCGATCCGATTTATAATCAGAAACGGTCTACTTTATTCTGAAGCTTAAAAAAATTCTAGAAAATCCGATATTTATGTTGCTTGCAAATATATATATATATGGGATTTTTCCTATTCAGTCAAATAGTAAATTAAGTTCTCTATTCTATAACCCATATCAAATTATACATTATTTGATTCAGCAAACCAAACTGATATATAATCAGTAAAGAGATCTACGATATTCTCACGGTTTCAAAAATTCTTCCATGAAAGAGTATTTTTTATTAAAGTAGACTATAGGGAACTTTTTATTAAAAAAGATCTTCAGTATCTTTATTTAACCAATAACCCA